ACAGCTAGGCAGTGATGTCACAAAGGGCATTTTGGAATAATGCCAGGAAAAATGGACAAAGGTCAAGAGAGGGGGGCAGAGACAAAGCCGGAAAGAGTGTGCTGCTGACTCAGTGTTTCAGTTTCCCCCCCTTCTCTTTTTCTCTGTCTTGTTGTTCAGATGGCTGACCAACCGGTGTCCCATTCGCACGGCCTTCGCCGCACACCCAGAGCCTTGAAAGGACCCACAGTTACCGTGGCAAAGGCTGAAACAGGCTGCCATGGGGGAATTCTGACTGGGTCAATGGTCACAGCGCTGACTGCTTCCTGGGTCAAAGCCGTCAGGGCAGGAAGGAGGGAGAGGTGGAAGGTGGCTTTCAACCTGACTGGCAGCCAGAGCCAGGGTGTATGAGGATAACACACACACACACACACACACACACACACACACACACCAGTGGCCTCTAGCACTTATACCAGCTCAATGGAAACATTCCTTTTTGACAGTAAGGCCAAATCATGGTGGAAATTCAAGGTGAAAGCTGTAAAAATGTCGTTTATAATAAGCTAGATCATTCTTTTTGTTTTGCTGGGGGAAAAATAATAATTACTATTCTATTTGTGTATTAACACAAATCTATATTGAATTAAGCTTTGCCTGTGCTAGTCAGACAGAAGTTATTGAATATCTCAGTTAACTGCAAATCACATGACAGCAGCTGGCAGATGGCTTGCACCATGCTTTGCTTTGTGTCTCAGTTCACTTGAGTTGGTTCATGAATATTTAGCACGAATATGCCTGGACGGACACGGGTTTACGCACACAGACACACAAACATATGAGCACAACACAAAGCTGAGCCCTTGCCCTTAAACATAATCCACAGAGGTCAAGAGGGCTGGACTTGTGTCTGACAGAGACCTGAGAGAAGCCAATAGGAGTTAGACAATCTGGCTATTAGTGAGGGAGTAAAGTTGGTGGGGGTCTGACAATGTCTTGTTTGCATTTCTCATTCAACATTTTTACACATTTACTTACAAATATGTGTGTATATATATTATATATATATATATATATATATATAAATAATATAGTAATAATATAATATAAGACCTTATATAATTCCTTAAAGTTCTCGCTTATACCACCAAGGGTGGTGGACCTTAACTGGTGAAATAAAATAAAATAAAATAAATATCATGTATGCATCGCACCATTTGGGGCAATGTTGCAAATCAGTGCTGGATTTTTACACTTTTTGCAACAAAGTACCTTGATTATTAAATTAAATAAAAAATGACAGGAGAGCATTTTATCCATATTGCCCACCTCTAATTTCTAACTTAATTCTAACCTGCTGCAGCATTACAAAAAAAGACCTTCTAGGTTTCCATTGTCAGGAACGCTCACTCTAACTCATCAATTAAAGAGGAAGGAGCTACCTGTACTGCATACAACAGCTCGAAACCTGATTCCTCACTGCTTGCTAATTCTGGCTGCCCACTCTGAATTATTAAAGCTACACCTCAAGGATATTACATGCTAATAAGTCACTTGACTGGCCACTTCAGGCAAAGTCTGTGTCCATGACTTACTCCTTGGATAAATCGTTAACTTCTTGTACTGTTTTTTATTATTTTTTTCATGGAATATGGGACACGAACACACACACACACACACACACACACACACACACAGATGGGATGTTACATAAGGAAAGAGGTCATGGAACACTGGACTTGAAACATACAAAACACATTCACACAGGGGGTAACCTTTTTATATACAGTCTATGGGGATAACCCAGTAAACACTAAGTGTGTGTGCTTCTAAAGAGCCCCATCTGTATGCTGTCAGGTGTGAAAAAAAGAAGCCTCAAAACCAGAGGTGGCAGCACAGCACAAGTATCTAATGTTTAAATACTCTTAGTGAAGATCCATCAAGAGGTAAGTACACTAAAGAGCAAATAGACTTTTATGTTACATCATCTTTCCAGTGATAAATCAAAATGACAAAAAAAAGTCCCTAAACCCCTTCCCTCTGTTCAGGATCCAGACCCCTTTCTTTATTGTTCTGCCTATTACCTCAAAATACAAAAAAGAGACCGAATTAGGATGATAAAGAAGCATTTCATCACGCTGGACCTGTTAGGATTGGGGATTAGGGAACGTGCTAACAGACAGCATTAGCCTCGCAGGCTGAGGCAGGTGCTGGTTGGCAACCTGCTAGCTGATTACTGCAAACACACACAGCTAACTAAACTATTAAAGGCTGGGGATATGCTGACAGACGGAGCCTTTCAGATGTTGTAAAGTTCAGGTTCACTGCAACTTTAAAGCTCCCAGACAACTAGAATGTTGCCACGGCGATTAATCGAGCTGAAAACACCAACATGAAGCTGCGGTTTGATGTTCAAAGGGATGTCAGTCAGTGATTTAATAGCAGATGAAAAGGTGTGACCTCCAGCGCTTATTATATGAAAATCTATTAAACTTACAGTAAAAGATTTTTATTAAGGCTCCATCCATGTTATAAAATCAACATGTGACAACATCAGAACACTATGTTGACAATTGTTGTTACAATTTCATGTAACTATATGTTATTCCAGTAACTTTTCCAGCCCATCTTCATGTTGTTTTGACTGTAAATGTAAGGAATAGGACACCTTGACAGATAAGGGTGACATAACTAGTTAAGAAAGCACCAGATTGAGTTGGTGTGAAACATTACTGATGCTGAGTCTCATTTAACAGTCCAGTAATGTGCACATGCTGTACAGAAGTACAGTACGTGCACACTGACCTAGCAATCAACCAACTCCTGAGGGAAATCTTTGTCTCTTTAGCTGCTAAATGCTGCACTATGCTCACCAGCTAGTTGCTGATTTTGTCTGTCTGTTGTCTGGTGCTGGGCTGTTTGCTTTGCGTGGGTCTTTTCTCAGCTGCCTGCTGCTGGAAATGACTGAGCAGTAGAGCTGTGGTGACAAAAAACCAAAACAATGAGCTTAAAGACAGTAAATTGAGGGTATCTGCAGAGTCGGGTGATAACTCTGTGGGTTTGTCACTATGGGTGATCCCTTCCATTTTGCACATAGTTGTTTGATTCTTTGTTTATATAAAAATATTGATTAGTGCAGCAGTTAAATATTCCATTAGGCATTTTACTGTTTTTGATTTTTGTATTATTAGTTTAACTGTTTATGTATGTTTTTTCTCTCTAATAGGCCTTTTTAAGAGCAGATATATTGACGTGACATAGTTTTGCCAGTTCCAGGGTTCTGGTATTGTACATGCTGACTCACTGCAGTTGCTTCCTAGGACTCGGACATGAAAATGACAGCGCCATTGTTAATGTTATTATCTTATTAGAAAGGGGTTAGTGACGAAGCATTTCCAGGCGCCACAGCTGACCTCAGAAGAGTCTCTGAACTCTTTACTGTAATCAGGCGCTGACTCAAGATTCAAGATGTTTTCTTTAAGTATTGTAGTTTTGTAGCATCACATTTACCAAATCTATGTCTCCTTCCTTAACCAAAGTCATTTTGGACCTTATTTAATTGTTAGCGCAATCCTTTCATGATTGAGAAATATAATCTTTACATCATTGTCAGTTGGTTCGTACATAATTGCGGATGACTTCAAAGGCTCCCATTAAATGAATGAGTGAGTAGATTAATAGAAAAGAAAGAAAGACAAACAGATGAATGGCCATCAATAGGACTAAAGGTGGAAACCTGACTAGCAAACAAGATGACAGAGCTCTCCAAATAATTAATGAAGCCTGAGCTTTCTAAGAAGATACAACAGTGGGTAGAGAGAGAAAAACACACACACCTTTCTGTAACCTCATTTGCATCATTATCAACAGCTTGCGGGTAAGTGTGTGTGGTTATGTGTTCTTTTGTGTGTTCTCTACAGGGAACTCAGATGGCAGCTCTATATGCCCATACTGACATTATTGAGGAAGCCGGACAAATGTCGTCTTGCATTATGAATGAAATGTTATTGATCAGACTGAGGAACCAAGAGCCAATATACTGATTACATGATGAGAAACGGGCCTGAGTTGGCTCAGTAAACAGAGTTCTGGGTCAAAGTCTGAATATGCATTTACAAGCGAGGCAGAGAGAGAAACATGAGAGCGACAAGCTTTTGTCCTCTGTCTTCCACTGATCCGGTTCACATGACGTTTCAGGTTGTCTTTCCAACACACACACACACAAAGAGAGAAAAACACCTGCCCCAGACTTTAGCTACTGCCCTGTCATATCTTTCTATTGATTTGTTCTGTGTTTTCTTGTGTGGGCTGCATCAGGGAATGTTTTGTACAGTCTCACTGTTCCTCACACACATAGAAACACTGATAAACCGGGACCAGACTGGGACTATCTCAGTTTTTCTGCCGTGTAAGTGGCAGCATGGATTGGCCAAGAGGACAAGGGTCAGATCAGTATGATATAGCAAATGCAAACAGAACTCACACTCAACACACAACAGAGTACACATGCAAAATTCAGTTAACATTTCTGCTATATTTATATATGGCTACAAAAATCCTTTTCTCCTGTATAATAGGTTTCAGACAATGTGTGTTAACTACAGGAGAGGGGGAGAGTTACAGGCTTTTCCTTGTCCTAATCCAGAGCTGTGAGCTTCATTGATAAATCCACAACACAACATGTATATGCAGTGCAGGTATTAACAAAAGAAGCTCATGTAATCATGGGCCACTGGTCTATCTTTGCAGCTCCTGGCACGGGTGTGGACAAGAAAGCATGGATTTTGCGGGGGGGGGGGGGGGGGGGCTTCAAAATAAAAGCACATTTAGAGAAGGAGGGGTATTGTTTTAGACGGATTTTAGGGATACAACGAGATGAGTGGATGCATGCAGCTGAATATATGGCCAGTGACGTAAGAATGAAGTGAAGCAAGAATAAAAGGGAATAGCACGTGCATGGTTGTAGCAGGTGGGACACAAGAGCATCTCTGGAGAGGAGGTTCCTGCCGCTGCGTCCTTACCTCAGAGCGACGCGTACCGAGCTCTCATCCGGCCCGCTGGTCATGGTGTCACCGGGAGGATAGTCCAGCTTAAAAATAGCTTGATTTCCCTTTCCCCCCTCTTTATCCTCTTACAAGACAAGACAGCGTCGCGGGCACCCCCCTTCCTCCACCTCCAAGAAAAGCGCTTCAATCTTGAGCTTCCACCGTTGCCGCTCTCACCTCCTCCTCGAAACAGCATAAGGAGCCATGTTTGGTGAGATGGAGCAGGTCATTATGAAAGGATTCGTTTGTTTTCCATTGCGGTTATTTCTCCAGAGGCATCGTCTCAGCCTCCTTCTCGGGCAGAGTGCAGTGTGTGTGTGTGTGTGTGTGTGTGTGCGGTGCGGACCGACGAGCTGGGATCCACTGGCCTGGAGAGTCTCTCCAAGACTGAGGACGTAACCAAACTCCTCCTCCTGAGCTGTACCAATCCAGGCAGGGGGCAACCAACAACGCAAGACAAAACATGTAGGACAACATGTCTAATAATAATTGTAGTGTTATAATTATAATAAATATAATAATACTTTAAAGTCTTTAAACCATTTTCGACGCAAAGTGATACATTTCTTTCTGGATACATATTTTTATGTACTCATACTAACTAGCAGAACATTTGATAAATGTTTTATTTGATAGGGCTACTATACTATACTATACTATATTATATTTGACATTCCATGCTATTGCTGTGCTATACTATATATTTTCGTATACGATACGTGTCACCTTTTCATCACATACTATATTATTATGTTATGTACATTACTTTATAAATTACATTTCTATATTAACACAGACAAGAATATCATTACTTGATCATATATATTAATCTGGTGTACACTGTTTACACATGCTAGACTTGCTAACTTTGCTGCTATACTAATCACACTACTGTCACTTTTGTCTTGCAATTTTGTGTTTAATTGCTTTTGTGTAGTTTCAAGTTTTGTATACCTCTTATTATTTATTTTTTACTTTCTCTATTTGTCTGTACCTATATGTGGCAAGTTGTTGACAAAACAATAATTTGGAGCAATAAAAATGTCAAAAATAATGAATCCATTACACTGAACGTGACTGCATTCAGTTTGAGTGCTATTTGAATGTACTTCTGATATTTGCAGTACTACAGTAGTGAAAGAAATAGGCTACTGAACGTGTATGCACATATCAGGAATTGCAATAAATGAACATGGCTACTTGTTCATGCTGCCATCTTGTGGTCAGCTCATATTACTGCACTGTTGGAGTGATTAACCCAACGTGCTCTCTTGTTTTCGCCTGCAGATGGCTTCACAAACTCACTTGCTGTGTCCCAATTCCACACTACAAGACTTGTGTCCAGTGTGTACTATACTACTTAACAGTTTTTTAAATCTTTAAATTTTATAAATCCTTAAAATGTGTGTGTAGTATGGGACTACAACATAGTTTCTGTTCAGGCTTGTACAATAAAAACAGTACCGGTTAGAAAATGTAATTTCTCTGCAGGCAAAAAGCTAGGACCCCTGTAAATATCAAAGGGCCTGACACTGAGAGCCCAAATATCCCACAGAGTGAAGAGGTGGCATGCCCTTGAGACAGGTTTATTTTTATGTCTGCATAAACTCTGGGATGCTTCTGTTAGTAATCAACAATCTCCATTAAAGGAGTTGGTAAGAGTACACGGTCCTCCTACTTGGGCTATAAATAACATTAATTTCTCACTGTTAGGGAACTTGTGACAAATCTTTGCTACTCGCTAAATTTCAAATAGTTTAAACTTGAAATGGTAAAGAACAAATGCAAGATGGCCCATATTTCGAGGTTGCAATGTATTGTTTTTATTTACAAGAAAATACATCTTCATCTTTCAAGTTAAAGTGACCACATGGTTTTTGCACAGATGACCTTTATGCCAACGCACCTCTCTTGCTTCTAAGGTTAAAGAATACAGATTCCTACACATGCACAATGACATCCTCGTACAGGAAGTCTGGACTACTGTTCCAGGACTTCAAAATATAAAATGGTTATATTAATGGGAGTTGTGATTGCAAACAAAGCTCTCTTTAAAGTTGTTATGTAGCAGTGTAGTTATCCCTGGCTTTAAGGGAGAACCACCGCATGTTGCCTCTGAGGTCCAGGACAGTCAAATTAATACATCAAAAGCTTGAATAAAAATCTCAGTAAGTTAGAAACCAGAGAACTACTGTACTCCTTGGCATCCACCTATCTTCCCATGTCATTCTGTCATGACACTATCATTAATATTAACTTGACTGGCCTGCACCACTTGAGTAACATCAAAACATTTTCCTTTCCCATTACGTTTCCAAACACAGTAAATCTTGATTTAAACACCACAATGTGGCTCTGATAAAATAATGTTGCATGCACTATTAACACCATTATAAAATGATACATTTTCAAACAAGAAGGAAACTTGTATGACATTGACCACATGTATTCGCTGTCTTCGTAAACCTTAAGAGATGCTATATCATACATTATGGATACATTCAATCTCTTTCTTACAAAAGGGGTGATAGAATGCAAAACTTTCAGTATCAAAGTTTTGTAGTAAGGATGTCATTACAGTATCAAGCAGGGTCATAGAGTGTAGTAGGCCACTAAAGGCCTAACACTTAACTGGTTTACTAAAGGGGTAAGAAATGATGAGGTGCCATGTTCAAAGATAAAGACGGACAATGTTTTTACCCTAAGACCAAGTTCAGTTATGAAAAAGAAAAAAAAAGATGCTGGGTTTAATGCAGAGTCACAGCAGCAAATTTTAGAAGCCAAATAAATCTGGGAATATTAAACTTGCAATAACTATGTTTGACCACTTGGGCCCAGCAGAAACAAGCTAAACATAATCCTTGTAAGTTGATGTTGCTAACATGTTAGCAAACAGTGGCCTAGTAACCATTCATTTTCAGTTGTGGAAGTCCAATTTTCACTCTTTAAATTTTTAGAGCTGTTTTGATGCTCACCAGCTCCTGAGGGAAATATCGGGCTATTTAGCTGCTAGCTAAATGTTCCACTTGGCGCCTGTTCACTAGCTGGTTGGTGAATCAACTAAATTTTGCGGGCGGGAAAACCAAAACAATGAATTGAATGTTACTACAAAGCGCTGAGGGGAACTGCATGGTCACATGTATGTGATCCATTGTTAATGTAAGAAGTCTGGTTTGGTTATAGCCACTTTAAAGATATAAATAAATAAGAATGAAGGCAGACTAGAGGTCTTTTCATATGTTTCATATGCTGTGCACAGGGCTCTGGCCCAAGACTCACTGGAGAGCAAGTGTTACCAATGATAGCTTAGCCTCAATTAGGCACAGTTTTGTAGCATGATTAGAGGCCACTCTTAGCCTTATAATCACTGGCTAGAGGATGTAATTCTTGGGAGAGAATACACAGCACGAAAAGCACCATTTTACGCAACACAAACCAGAAGAAACTTTGTAAAAACCCATAATTCTGAAGAAAACCCACTGAAACATGAGACATCCCAGGATAATAGCACCTCATCATTTTTTATCCCATCCTTTCAAGATGAAATAACAGTATTTCTTACTTTTTAACTATTCAAGCTACGGGCATGCCTATGGATCCCAGACCTCCTGTAGCAGTGTCACTTGGCAGACTCTGTGTCATTCAGCGGCTCTTATGGCCTCCTGTCAACAGAGCCTGACTGATGGCACAGATAACTTATTTCAGGTCTGAAACTCCAGTACAGATTACTGTTGAAAAAGGCTAGCCATGCCATTTTCAAGCCCTATAGTAATGCCTACGATGCTCTGTTGCGTACCCAATGAAGGCGTAATTAGTTTTGTGCAGACCATCACAGAGCATTCCAGTTATTATTCCTTTTGATATTAAAAGGAATGCATTGATATTTTAAATGTTTAATTAGTTATTTTTGTTCTCCAGTCACATTTTTTAGGGGGAGAGAAAAAAAAATCTAAGTTTGTCCTTCTGTAACCTAGCAGCCATCATCCTGAGCAGAGTGGGGCTTTGTTCTTTTCTTGAACTGTCCACTAAAAGCCAAAAGGGGGAGGTTGCAAAGGTTTAAAGCCTCAATGGAGCAAAGATGTTACACTTTAAGACACCCTGGACGCAGGCCCAGCTCAGTCTAACAAAAGGCCTGAGGGAATTGCTAAACTTTGACAAGCATACAATTTACATGATAAGTTCCGTAACAAATTAGGTGATGCAGGCGCAGCTATATACCTAAAATCAGGACTCATTTCTCTGCAGACACAAACAAGCCAACGTGTAGTATGAAATATAGCAGGGCACTTGTTTGTTTTCTGCTGCTGATGTGACTGATTGTCCATACTCTGCAACACAGACATGGTGGAGTATTAACCAAACAGAGGGAATGAGAACAAAATGGTGGTATTCTAACCAGTGAGATGACTTGATATTACACTGTACCAGTGACTCAGTACAGTGTGAGAATAACAAACAGAAGCCCAGAGATCACCTTGTTTGTGGTGGTATCTGGATCATACATATTAACTAACACAAACCGATTTAACTCTAAAGTGCTTCCACACTTTTAATTGGTTCTATAATTTACTAAGGGGCTAGAAATGAATTTTACAGAGGAAACACTGAATTAAACTAAGGAACACAAAAATGAAATGTAAATGTTTCTGGGTGCTTTTTTGCTTTTCAGATGCATTGACGATTTGTATTGCTTGGAAGGCTTTAGGCCCAATTGAATGTATAAAACTGCAAAAATAATATATGTGCCTATGGGGAAATAGACTATAAGTGAATCCATAACTTCTCTACACATGATCCTCTCTCCTGTTTCACCAAGTACAATCTGGGAGGCAAAGGTCTGCCTTATTTACTTTTCCCCGTACTCTTTATGCTGGACACAGTAAACACACACACATGCACAGTTCTGAACCACAAAGGGAACATACTGTAAAAGCAGCCACAACCAAAGCTTAGAGCCGCCACATGAGAACACAGCATTCATGACTCGTCCATAAGAAAAATGATGTTAACAGAAAAAAACACTGATTTCACAGTATCACAACTTCAGAGAAGTTGAAACATGGAGGCTAAATGAGGAAAAACATTAAACTAATTTAATTCCTGTAGATAGTCAAGATGCATGCCAGCCATTAGTCAAGAGGCAACCAACGTGCTGAAGTGTCCTTGAGCCAAAAATGAAATCTGTACCAGCTCCAATGTCTGCGATCTTTAAAAAGCCTGACCTCTAAGCGTCCTACTACTGTATATTAGCCCTATTATGTAATACACAAATTAGGTGCAACCCAATAAGGCCCCATATATTATAACATAATAATATGTGGAGTCTTATCTAAAATATTTAAGTGCATGTAAACACACTTCATGATATTAAAAGATAATCAGCTTCCTCTTTAGAAAGGTGGGACTTTTTGCAAAGTATTTCTTACGTCGTCATACAATTTACATGAAGGTTCCTTTTACTAAATTAGCATAACGTATTAGCTCATTAGAACCACAGAGCATGATCGACGGTGCATTTGACACATAGAAGACACACGAGTGTTTTTTGTGTCAACAGTGGAGGGGGGGGGGCTTCAACAGGTGGCCAGCGTGTGCACATGCACCTGACAGTACCATAGTCTGAATGACTACCTGTTCATCTGTGTATAGTATAAATGTATGTGTCACTGTTCAAAGACAGACCAGACTACCAGGGTCGGCTCGCTCTTGTTCCGCTTCCTTTGAAGAGGGCCTCTTTAGCTCATTGTATTTGTTCAATAAACCAGAAACCTATAGATGTAGAGTCAGACCTGCATCACTAATCGCTCTAATAACAGACCCCAGGTTGGCTCTTTCTTTGCTAGCCATGTGCAAGTCTGTCACTGAGCCTATATCAGTGGTCCAAGGGTCTGTAATAACCTACAAAGGGCTAAGATGAGGTATAAGGAAAGGGATTGTACTGCGGCTAGATACACAAAATCAAACAAAGGCATATTGTGACATTTTGAAATATAGTCTCTCTTGACCTTTCAGAACCAAGAGGTAACAGGTAAATCTACTGCTAAATTATGACAAAAGTGGATGCTGCACAACCCAGTATACTGGGCGTGGAATACTGCTGTGGACAATATTTAGTGGTTCTATATTAAAACGTTTTCCAGCTAAAACGCAGCTATCACCTTATTTCACTGTGAGCTACCACAACAAAATGGGGACAGCCTTCTAAAAGCAATGTAAAGTGCTATAAAAACAAACCAACAAACAAATGAATTATCTTGGTTCAATTTTGGATTTATCTGCTTTGCCACTTTAAACTGTGGCATATAATGATCTTGAAAATGATGCATGGTAAAAGTCCACATTTAAAATCTAAAAGTATGCAGTCCATGCGAGTATAGAGGGGGAGTATGTGTGATTTCCACTTCACTCTCCCACTTCTCGGGTTGGAGCGGGGCAAAGGAAAGATTTAAAAGAAGAGGGAGAGGAGAAAGGACAGCTGAAAGACTAGCTGGCATTAAGAGCTCTCCTGCTTTCACAGGAGAGGGGGGAAAAAATCTGAAAGAAACGCTGACAAATCTTTTTCTTTCATTGCTTCTTCACCCCCCCCCACCCTCACCACCACCAGCAGCACCTCTCTCTTTTCCCCTCTGGGCCCCTTTCCCGCTCCCTCCCTCGCCCTCTCACTCCTCGACTGTTCTGAGGACGGAGTCGTCTCCCAGGATCTTGCAGAGCTCGTTGAGGCGATGCTGCATCTCGGGAATGCCGGCCAGCTGGGCCTCCAGCCGCTGTTTCTCCTCGGTGAGGGAGAGGCGCGTTGCCGTGTCCAGCTGCTCGAAGCGCCAGCCTCCCTCCCCGTCGAACTGCAGCAGGTGAGTGTGGTACTTCCTGGAGGTGGAGAAGATGGATTTAAAGCAGGAGAGTGGAAAAAAACAAAACTATTTTCAGCTATGAAGTTATGTCAAACAACATATTAGAGGGATCATGATTATGCTATTTAATCCCATATGCATATAGGAATTGAGTGAGACTAAACAAGTAAAGAGGGGGTGTGGGGCCTCCTTTCTTATTCTTGCTTTGGCTGATGGGAGGCCCATAGGCTCAGACTTTGAAAACCCCTTGACTAGGACATTATCTGTGGGATGAGTCTTACCACAGGGAGGGTCTGTGTGTGATGGAGAGCAGAGAGATGCCGGCGTCCTTAGCGGCCTGGAAAATCTTTCCCTCCACATCAATGCTCACGGCGCTGGTGCACTCGTCCAGCAGCGCATATTTAGGCCTGACGTACACAAGGGGGAATTGTTTTAATAATCGTTCAGCGAGTAACTAATGAGATTTGTGATGTAGTGAGAACCTCTGCACATGCAAAGCTGAAAAAGTACCAATGGTTACCCTACATACACAACACTGCTTAAATGCTCGTGACCTTTTAGACCCCTTACTTGTGGTAGAACATGCGAGCCATGCCCATCCTCTGCTTCTCGCCTCCTGACAGCACGTCCTTCCAGTCCAGCTCAGCGTCCCAGCCTGGATGCAAAAGAAGACATGGCACAACCTTAAAAACACATACTACCAAGATGTTATTTAAAGATAGATATTTAAGGATTAAAGATGCTGAGAGCAAATATCTTTAATCCATATCAGGGTGGGGGACACAAGAACGCTTCATTGAAATCCAGTCTGAGAAAGTGCATAGACCTATTTTATGGTAGTGAAAACTCTGTACTACATTAGGCCTTTACATAAAGAGCTAATTAAAAATACATTTTGAGCAATGTTATGAATAATTGAAATGTCAACAGACAGGTTTTACAGAGCGTTTATGTAGACTGTTTATCTACCAACAGCCATTCCAACGGAAGGGCACAGCACTGACAGACATATTCGCTAAAGGGTTTAACCAGTCTAGCTGCACTGTGTAACAGTGAGACAGCCTTCTATGTGTTACATTTTCAAAGACTTAAGAGAAAATCCTTTGCAGTTACACTGCATGTGTGCCCACATCCACGACTGATGTGTGAGTTCATTTGATGGAGACCTTTCCCAACATTTCCACAGTGCAGCCATTCATCTGTTTAACCCTCTTGTAGCTCTAAGCATTGTACAGTAGTTGGTTCACAACAATGGGCCTGTTTGTTTGGCGATGAGAGGAAAGTGGCAGCCAATTAGCCACAGACGCAAGTTTAGGCAATACAAGTAATTACCCGAGTGCATAAGATCAAGCTTCTGGTTGGTACACAGACACGTAACCTGGTTTGTTTGTTCTCAGCACACCGGCAGACCAGCACTGCAGTTACAGTTACTGTTGCGGTGCAGATTTTGCAAATGTTTAAATTACTTTATAGACCGCGTGGTGACTTAACTGTCAAGTAGACTCAGATTTGTTGTAGTGGCTAGTGGTTATTTTATTTGATATTTTGTTTTGTCAATTTTGTGTAGATGATGGTTAAAATCTTCAATCTCCTATTTTCACTCAACACACAAATTTTTCTAAGTCGGCTTCATTACTGCACCAACCTCCCTCTCTGGTGACAATGTGGTTGAGGTTGACTATGTCCAAGATGGTGTCCAGGTCCTTGTCACTGATGCCTCTGGCAGCCATGTCCTCCACAGAGTCTGGGTAGATCACCTGGTCCCGCAGTGAACCCATGGACATGTATGGCCTGGAGAAACACACACACACACAGTTACACCGGATCCACTGAGGGTTTCTTTGTTAACTTCTAATTTCATTAAGTGGACGCTAAAGAAAAGAACAAGCTAACAAAGAGGGTGTGTGTGTTCAAAGGAGCACATAATCAGCTCTTAAACACTTGAAGAACAAATGCTGAAAGAGACCCATTACTCTTTGGTTGTATCTAATGTACATAGTGTATTGGATTCTGGTGGCAATCTCATCCTATGTATAAAATATTCACTGCTCTGCAGGAGGCAGTCAGCTGAGTCCAAGCCTCTAAGATTACATTTGATGGTTTGTCTTAGACTGGTTCACTTGAGTTTAAGGGTCCTTTGGCCACTTTTATGGAAGATCAATTGGTCATCTTTACCTGTTAAGGGCACTGACACCACAATCACCCATATATCAAGAGATGTCTGACTCAGATGCTACATTCTAACTCTTTACCAGTGTCTGGCATTTACAGCTGCAACTAACAATTCTTTTCACCCTTGATCAATCTGGGGATGTGGAGTATATATATACTTATTAGACAAATAAAAAGCAGAAAATCTCCACACATGGAAAGCAAAAAAGTAGCAAAAGATTTTTCTTGAGAAAAGCCTCAAAAGATGTGCCTTTTAATTTTCTGTCGACTGACTGGTTAATCGACTAATCGTTGCAGCTGTACTAGAGCTATCTCATAGGGCATTGCCTGACAGCCTTTTGCAGCTGACAAATTTCCACCAAATTTAAGCTCATATGAAACATTTGCTACTTTCCTCATTTCCATAAAAAGTGTAGGGTGTGGCTAAATATTTGAAACAAAAATCACTGTAGGACAGATGGAAACACTGAAACAGCCTACGGGGCCCTCAAACATCAGGTGCTTTTTATTCCTAAAAGGTTAATAGTGACACTTTGGATTACGCTAGTTATCTTTAATCATTCAGTGTTAACATGGGTCACTTGAGCAAAAATACGGATTGTCAGGACACATGGCTGATTGTGGTTAACACACACTCATCTTACTATCAAATGACAGTTATCCAGAGAGAAGTGTAATGGAGAAATTATTGTCAAGCCTTGTCTGGGCGGTAATTATTTTACTGTGGCCAGAGCTCTGGTTTCTCTTTGTCAGCCACACACACACACAGACACACACACAGACACACAAACAGACACACAAACAGACACACAAACAGACACACAAACAGACACACAAACAGACACACACACACTGTTATAATGGATTAGATTACTGGTAGGGTTCACGGGTACAATGGTCAAACCCTACAGTTGCTTCAGTACAACTCACTGCTGTGGAACATAAGTACTGTGTGAAAAAGTGTGTTTGTGTGGATACCTCTGAGGGATGTAGAACATATGCTGAGGAGAGGGTTTGTGTAGCCGGCCGCCATAGACAGGCCACAAGCCGCTGAGGATTCTGAACAGAGAGCTTTTTCCACAGCCGTTGGGCCCCGTGATCAATAGGTGCATGCTCTCTTCTACCTGAAATGGAAAGAGAATTTATTAATCTCCCTTAAGCCGAGCCGGTCCTCAGTATAATTACGTAACATCATTAAGATTTAAAGCCCTGGGGAGATAGGAAGCATCAGTGGGCGTGTAGCTTTTGATAGACAGCATATGACCATTTAACATTACACACAGGAGATCTGAAATGCACAAGAACACAGGAATTGTGGTCATAGAGCATTGCTTTTTTAACAGTACACTGTATTGTAGTTGTCTGTTCTGTCTCAGAGCTACAGCTGGAAACCAGTTCAAACTGTTTGGCGGTATCGCTAAATTCCTCTGGTTTGCCTGCACCTAACAGGATAACAGAGGAGCAGCAGAGCATACACTACTTTCTGTTTCTTAAAGTACCAAAGCAATCGAAATTAAAAAGAAGTAACATTGTAAGAAAAAATTAAATAAAAGCTAAGTTCTGAGTGTAGCTTTGAAAAACTGAATAACAATTATGAACAATTTGGACGTGTGGTTGTAAGGCCAATGTCAGCAGATTATCTTGCTATCTGCCAGCTCAATGTTAGCAGGGTCACTGACCTCAAATCAGCGGTCTCAACCGGAGCTTAATTATCCTTCTCTATCAGCAAACTTGTGATAATTTGAGTTTAAGTTTGAGCTCAAAGCTCTGATAACGGTTCTAGATAATCTTTAAAGCTCGTTTACAAAGAACAGAGCCCCTCTGAAGTTTAAAAGAGGGAAATAAAAGTTGGATTAAAATGCAAAAAACTTATACAATACATATCTATCCGTGGGGCAGCCCCTCAGGAGAGAAGGGTCACCATGCGTTACATGTTTATGGGAAGTGGCATTAGTGTCGTAATGATATCTGAAAAGTGCCATTTTACTTTTTTGTCAGCATTGATCTGTAAATTTTAAACACCATAATATCCTCTCCAGCTCATTATAGTAGCGAACAGCCTGAGGGGTGCAACACGTTGACACCCAAAGGATGCATCTGTTTCCTAATGAGACCACAGAGCATTCTTCATAAATGCTAATTAACGCCACGTAGACCAAAAGAAAACCCTCAGGGAATCTGACGGTGAAGTATGGTTCGGAGAACACCAGAAACGAAGTGCCTGCAAATATATTGGTTAATATTAAGTGGAGTTTGGTGCTGGAAGACAAATTAAATTATCTGGTGACCTTTTTTAGCCCATCCTAACTACAAAAAAAGAGTACAGCAAAGAAGAGCTATAGATGCAATAGTAGCAAAATGGCAGAATACGGAAGATCTGAAGAGAATAGAGTAGAGCTGTCTCACCTTAAAGTTCAGGCAAGACACTACTACGTCCCCATTTGGTGTAATAATTGGGACATTCTCACACACAATGCCGTTGTCCACATCTATCACCTCACCTGAAGAGACAAAACAGAGAAAGACAGAATGAGTGTATAAGAGCAGAAATTAAGGATTACAGTCTTTTGAAGTATGGATATGGATGAGATAATACTTGCATATGAGGAATTATGGCGTTAAAAATAAAAAAAATCCCTCTTTACTATGCTGCCTATCTCCTAGCTTAATAGTGCTCTCTTGCTGGAGATTCATTCTGGGGTCAAATGGATGCTTACACAAGGATATTTATGCAATGATTCCAACCTTTGACCTCGACACCATTGATTGCTTGTAATATCATGTTGGTGATCTAGGAATTTATTCTTCTTGTGCAAGTTGCCCCAGATAAGGGCATAAAAACTCTCTGGTTAGAGATAACAGAGAGGCAATTGTGTGACCAATGAAATGACTCTGAAGATGTAACTGTATTTTAAAGTAACTTACACTTGCTTTATCCCTTAATTTAGGTCTGATGTTTAATATTTATTTTGTGTTACGGCTAATTTGACTATAAGTTGTTAATTGTGGACAGAGGGGTTGAAAATAAACAATGAACGTAATACTGCATAAGACTACTGTTTGACTTGCACACAAGGGATTGGGACAGTTCAACCAAAGCCACAAGCTTGCTCCAACTGCCAGACAGGAGAAGTGCTAAACGTTTGTGCAACACAGCAACAGTAACCAAGTGTGTGATTGTGACTGGCCAATTAGGCTGGTGACTACCTGTTTCTCTCTTTGAGTTTGTTTTAATACAGAAGTAGGTGGGTGTTCATCAGAACAGGCTTACCCTTTATCTCCAATGGTCCATCGATGTGCATCCCAGGCTTGCTCTTCTTCTCTGCTCCTGCTGTGGCTGATACAGAGGAGCGCTTGTAAACACCCTTCTGGACGTCCTCAAACACCACAAACATGTTGTGTACCCGTGCAGTGTAGCCTGCCAGCTCTGTGACCTGTCCCATCAACCACATAAAGGTCAAAGGTCAATACTGGGTAAAGTCAGAGGAGTGTTAGCATGACCCAAGAGAGGATCAGAGTCTGATAGGTCACTGTCATGGCCATGTGCTGATAACACTGTGAGTGCATGTGTGTTGAAGCAGTGACTCTCAACCAGGGGTATTTCTGTTACCTTGAGGTTTATGGAGAAATCACAGAGTAGAACAACTCATTTGAAAAAACTGTAGTTACAAAAAAATTTATCCACATATTGAGTCACCTTTGACATCTGAACTTTACCTGTTGCGAATGAAGCTACTGTAGTTAGCAAGCAAGCAGAAAAGTCTAAACTGTTAGCTTAAAGTAATGGATGAATGGTTGAAATAATTATCTCACAGTAAACAGTTCAGTTTAAACAGTATATATATATATATATATATATAAAATTAAATAAATAAGAATTAGATAAAAGTAAACTATTTAAACAGCTAAATATAATGGATAAACTGTTGAAATAGCTAAAAGAATTTAAATAGCTTAAAGTAATAAATAAATAAGAATTAATACAAAGTTTTAAAAAATGTGGATAAATTGTTAAAAGAGCTAAACGCAATTGATCAGATAAATACAAAAGGTTGAACCACTGCATTAGAGTGTGTAACTGTGTGTGCAACTCTGTGTGACAGTGAAAATATGTAGTTAACACCAAGGTGGCTACTAATGTTAATATGTTGTTAGGACTGTATGTCTTTCTTTGCTTTTCGCAACCAGTACAGTATGCTCTTGGATTAGTTATGATCTCTAAGAATTTTATGTTCCTATATGTTTGTTTACAGTGTATAAAGTGAGCACACACATTCACCCGCCCACAAACACACAGATCCTGCAGAACATAACGTGTGATGGTCTGTGAGAGATGGGTGAATGAAAAAGTATAGTAAAAATGATATATCCTAAAATAAACAAAAAAACAGAATATATCACAATGTAGTATTGAGTGTAATTCACAAAAACCATCATTGTAATTAAATTTAGAACATGAACAAAATAAATTGTAATGATTTTAACAGCACAAATGCAAAATGCATTAAGGTTTAAAAGGAAAAGACAACTTTAAAACTTTAAAACAACCGGAGGTTGCATTGAAATAGACTTTGTAATTCGGGAACAAATGAGGATAAAACCAAGAGAAAAATCACCCTCTTGCTTCGGCTTTAGTGTTGCACCCTGCAGCGAGACAATACAGGCTGTTGACACAGCTTGATTATATTAAACAACAAACACCAATTCTGGGAATTCATGGACACCATGTGGGGCTTTAGAAATGAGACTGGCTCAAAGAAGAAAGAAACCAAAACAAATATGAATTGAAAAGTGTCTAAAGAGGGAGGGACCGATCTGAAGATCAGAGGACTGATTGTGTTCCTGGTGTGAAATTGGTGAAGTAAATATTTACTATTAAACGAGCATCAACAGCTTATTGCAGCGTTCTATAGGAGAAGGATCATTATGAAGCATGATCCCTGCACAGTGGGGGATAGAGAATTTAAAATAAACACTTAATAGCATAACAGTTGAAACCATTGCCAATTTTGTCATAAAGAGACAAGACAGATTTTCTTTTAATTTACCGCCTCACAAGGCCTTCGGGCTCCAAAAAAACAAAAAGGTGTTAAAGTTGGGTTCTGCTGTGATTCATGAGCATATATAAGTAGAGCCATGTGACAAATGTTTGAGCACGTGCTGCGAAAGAAACAGAGAAACAGAGAGAGAGAGAGTGAAAGTGAGAAAGAGATGCGGAAGTGCAGGCTGGAAGATCAACAGATGGAGGATTATTCACAGCTAGGCTAAGCCCTGCGGGAAGGAGGTTTGGGCAGTCAACACTCACACCCACACCCGCACACACAAAACCAGGATTCACTGCTGGTTGACCTACAGTGACATACAGAGAGGCAATAGATTAAATCTTGGGGAATTAATGCCTATAAAAAGGTTTCTGTGTTCAATTTCCCCCCCTTGATTAGATCTAACACATATCAGAGGGTGACCAACTTCACCCAGTTGTGATACTAGATCAGAAAGCCTGACATTTAATAACTGGAAGCTGCTCTAAAACGTTGTGCCATTTTGAAATTTTAGTTTGCAAACAGTGTTTTGTGTGTGACGCTTGTACAAAAGGTACAAGTAAAAATGGATCTTTTCAGAACTTCAGACAAACATAAGTAGTTCTCAAAATTTCCTTCAAGCAGCCTTTGCAGCGTGTGCGAAGCTTTTTGTTGCCAAACAATAACACAGATGAGGAAAATGTGCACAATTCCTAGATACATATTGCATTTTGAGACCAACTTTGCAATTGTTTGGGCAGAAAACATGTGGATTACACAGCTTAAATGGTTTTCAGAAATGTCATAGACAACTTTTAAAGCTGTAAAAAAGAAACAATAAGATCAGAAAGCTAATAGTAATAATAATCAATTTCAGACGGGCATAGGAAAGGCCTTCATGGAACAAAAGGAAAAAACAAAGCTGAGTCTACGAGATGAGTAACAAACTAACATGAGCTGGGACATGTCATAGGACCATCTGACCACACACACACACACACACACACACACACACACACACACACACACACCAAACACCTAAAAACACTGTACACTGTCATATCAAGCAGGCAGAGTGTTTGGAGGCGTACGCAGGGCATACTGCCTGAGGAATGTGCCTGTTAAATTGCACACACACACTCGCACACCTCCTGGCCTTGCATGCAGCGGCTTGCTGCTGCACATCTAACAACAGACCAGAGCCAAGCTCAGGCTAAAACTCGTACCCTCCAGGGAAGTATTTCTGAGCCAGAGATTTGCAATGAAATGACATTCAGGACAAAATGCCCTGCCACAGAACTGCGTTTTACTGAGATAAAAAAGTTCACTAGCAGCTGGCTTACGTTTCAGAAACTTTCACAGCAGATTGAGCTGTCTGTGTATTAGTGCCATTGGGCTTGTGCGTATGTGCGGTGTGAGTAGAGTGGTACAATGGGAGGTTTTCGAGAAGAGGTGATTCACACTTAAGGAAGCAGACAACAGCCCGCTCTCGCACTTTTAAAAGAGTTGCAGTTCCTCTTCTTCACCACAAGCACGGGCTGCAAAAGCTATCCTGTTCACAGACAAGTCACACTCACACAGGCCATGCTATGTGGCCAAAAGTAGACAAACCAGCTGTACTGCAAAACAGCTTCACGCCACACATGTGACAAAGCCAAATCCTCTTAAGAACCTCAAATGCAGCAGCAGAGAGAGAAAATGCATGAATGGGTCCTGCTTCTTTTTTTTGATTAAAATTCAATGAGAGAGCAGGGACTTAGAGATCAATGAACAAGGCCTTTCATTTAGTGATTTCTCTCTGCGCCTTTTCCACTCAGGACTCACTGTGCAAGCATGGCGAGCCTCACGTGGGGAGAGTAGAGAGCGATGGACATACTGTGGCGAATGCATCCGTCAATCACTCAGCCAATCTGTGCATTCATCCACCCATCTGTTCAAACCGGTTCAAACCTAGGCCAACGAAATGACCCAACCACCCATACATCTGTCCATCATGTCCAAATCATAGTATGAAAATTCAAATACACATATTTGGAAGAACAAAAACATCCTGCTTTATATTACCATGAATATTGTGATAGCACATAGGCACAGGCACTTTCACAAATAAAACAGGAAACAAGTCAATATATAAATAATGGAGAAATAAATGAGTCTTAAGTAGTGAAGCTAGGAACCGACTCTGCAAGCCTGATCTCATCTGGTAGACTGCTCCAGAGTGTAGGGGCCTTGACAACAAACGCCCTGTATCCTTTGGTTTTTAGCTTAGACCTTGGAATAGTTAGCATCGCCCCACCAGAGGATCTCAGTCTGTGTCCTGGCTCAGAGATATAGGAAGGTGCTAGCCCCTCCAAGGTAGTAATCCTTACAGAAATAGTGCAAGCTGGTGCTAAAGTGCTAAAACTGGGGTCACATGGTCACATCTTAGTGAGTTAGAAATCGAGCTGCAGCATTTTGGACTAATCATAGGCGATGAGTTGATTTCTGACTGAGACAAGTATAAAGGCAGTTGCAATAGTCTAGGTGGGAGGAGATGAAGGGATGGATGAGTTTCTCCAGATCTGTGGCTAAAATGAAAGATTTAACCTTGGCTATTTTTCTTAAATAATAAAAACATAACTGAACAACTTTCTTTATGTGGGGCTCAAAACACAAGTCCTGACCAAGAGACGAGCTATTTACATGTTTAAATAAGAACAAAAGATCTCTTCTTCTGTGAAACTCCATTTGAGCGGAAACTGCTCCTGAAACCCAGAATTCCTAACAACTGCACCTGCCAGTGGTGAGACTTATCTGTTAGTTTGCTGTGCAACGACTGGATAAAAGAGCGACAACTAATGATAAGTTTTGTCGTCGTTTAACCTGAAATATCTTTTTTTGATTGACTGGTTAATCGTCAAAATACAGAAAGATTCCCCTACGCAGTTCCCCCATAGCTCAAGGTGAGGTCTGCAAATGCCTATTTTTGTCTGATCAACAGTCCACAAATCAAAGATTTTCAATACACAATGATATAAAATAGATGTTGACATTTAAGAAGCTGGAAGCAGGGAATGTTTGACATTTCTGCCTGAAATATTACTTGAATAAATGATTAATTGATTATCAAAATATTCAATTATGTCCTGTTGGTCAACAAATCGATGCATTGACTGGTTGTTTTCAGCATCAAACAAGTGAGCAATGCAGTTTTCAAGGCCATGTGCTGACAACTTTTCTAGGTGTTTTTTTACAGCTACATTTAAAGGGTCGAAAAGCTGAACAGTCTAATAAAAGGTAGGTTTATAAATCTAAAACGATAAATAAGTAAAAATCAATTAGACTGAGCATATCTGACTTACTGGTTGGGACTAAAACACAGAACACCTTTTATTTTGCAGTTGGGATGCAAGAACTGGGGTAGTGTGGGACTGGCGGCTAGTTCTAGTTAGCAGCCTGGCATCTGCGTTTTGAGCCAACTAAAACCATTTAGAGCAGCTTGACTGAGGCGTGTCTAGAGTGAATCACAATAATCTAGATGGGAGAAACTGAAAGTGTCAATCAATAGTTTGAGGTCTGAAGAAAACAGGTCTGAGCGAGCTTAGGAACATGACGGTCAGAAGTCATTTCCTGGTCAAAGATGATCCCATGGTTCTTAATGGTCAAAGTGACAAGATGACGAGAAAGATCATTGGGTGGTGGTGACACAGCGTTTCTTTGTTTCTTGTGGGGTCAAGTTCATTCAAAAGACTGTTCATGGTTTTTGTGAATTACACTCAATACTACTATGGGCAATACATATTTTGTTTAATAGCTTGTATGTGTAAAGAGTAAAAGGCCTTTGAAGTGAGTGTACTTTAAATTTTAAAGGTTAAGTATGTAATATTTATGAGGATCTATTGACAGAAATGCAATTTAATATACATAACTATGATTTCAGTAGTGTATAAAGACCTTAAACAATAAACCGTTATGTTTTTATTACCTTACAATGAGCCATTTCTATCTACATACACTGCAGGTCCTATTACATGGAAGTCGCCATGTTGCGCCACCATGTTTCTAAAGTAGCCCAAAGAGACAAACGGCACTACAGAGCGCATTTCATCACTACGTTGAATGCTTATGTACACAGTGTGAACTTTGAAATAAAAACTGAGGACATGATGATGGCAGGGATAGCCTCTGAGACATACTACACTCCAGCAAGGCTGCATTAACTGCAGCGTGAGGCGCCCTCACCTCTTTGTAGGAGGACATGATCCTCTCGATTGCATCTGCTCCTGAGGCCAAGAGGTTACGGGCGGTGGTGAAAGCCTCCGTCCTCTCGCTCACCATCACATGCGTTTGCCCGTCTGCGGTTTCTAGATGGCGGAAAGAGAGACAAGAGACGGCTCATTTAAGAAACACCACAGACATGTTTATCTAAGCAGCAAACTTTCCATTTGGCTTCTGTTATCTGATTGAAATTCTGTGTCTCTCGCCTGTGAGCCTGTTGACTGCATATTTTCACACTTGTACCTGTGAATATTAGAATACCACAGAAATAAGCTATTTAAATATCAGCAGCAGCGACACTGGAACATTAGCATTAGTAGTAGTGCTGACCAGCAAACAATGGGACTCTGTTACAGCTTTTTGATGCAACTGATAAGTTGTCAGGGAGGTGTGGGAAGCAGCTACCGTTTTCACAAATGGTAACGAGGCCCTGCTTGAGGTGGAAGCAATTGGTTTGGAGATGCGAATGATCCCTGTGTGTGCACTGTGAAATGGGCTTCCCCCCACAGAATGAAACATGCAGATACCTTAAGGCCTCCTTACCATTGTCAGCAAAGCCGGTGGCTGTGATGATTGGCACGGCCACCATGACGAGCCCGCAGCTGCTCCACACATACTTCATGAGGAACTGCTCGATCATGATGTACCAGAGACGCTTGGACAGGATCAGGTTCATCTGGTGCGCCAGAGCCCGGTAGCACTTCTGCAACTGACACATCTCCACCTGCAATGGACACAAAAATACAACACATTGTCACTTCCTGTATTTTTGTGGCGGAACAGACAATTCACCTAAACTTTAACTTGAATTATCAGCCTGATAACACTGATTTGTTATATGACTGTATAACGTTGATATTGGAGGTGGTATATAACGATGGGCATTCAGATTATATGTCCTACTGAGAAACATACTATCTGGTCTATTAATGATCTATTAATGGATTACTTACTTTTGTGGTTGTATTCTACACTGATCATAACTGGAGATTATAGTAACCCACCAATTTAAAGTATTTCCTGTAATATCCCTGCATGTCAGCCACAAATAATGCAACCTCTATGTTGTACACATGCCATCACCCAGCCCTGCATACCTTGTGCCCCCTGTAGAAAGCTATTTCCTCCGCATTTGCAATGATCCTGGAGTGCACATAGCGCAGGTAGCCTTTCCTGTGCGCCTCCTCGGCCACCAGCTTGCCAAACTTGGGCGAGCAGGCACGCAGGACCTTGGCAGTGACAAAGACCACCAGCCCGGCCAGCAGGGTCGGTCCGCTGGCGTTGGCCCCCCTGGACCTGGCGGTCTGTATCAGCGTGTAAGAGGTCAGCATCACGTCCAGTATAGGCTTGGTGAGGTTAGAATAGAGGTGAGCCACCGACTGGGAAAACATCATTACGTCCTCAGTGAGAGACTGGTCCGGGTTGGCGAGCCTCCCGTCCATGTTGCTGACTTTGTAGTAGGTCTGATCGGTGAAGTAGGTCCGGTAGGCATGGTTCACGAGCCGGGTGCGGAAGGCCAGAGCCAGTTTGCACTCCAAGTACCGGATGGCGCTGTTGACGAACGTGGCCGGGATGGCAATGAGGAGCCATTTGATAAGCTGGATGATGAAGCTCTTGGGTTTCTTCTCCACGATCGTCTTGACAATCTTGCCGTCCAAGCTGGCCACGTAAATAGACAGAAACGTCCTCGATATCAGCGCCACTGAGTGCAAGGAGAGCAAACCGAGCTCTTTAGACACAAGCTTGGGGAAAAGGATTTTACCAAGTTCGAGGATCTGCTTGAAAAATTCAGCATTTACCCCGGGGGATGCCTTCATATGATCCGCAGCATCTATCTGTGTTTTTACCAAACAAGTGGAGCCGTTTTCTGCCTTTGAAACCCGGCGATTATTCCCGGGGTCTTTGTTTTTGCCGAGCTGCTTGCAGATGATGGGGTACAGTGTTTTGACGCCGTAAGCAGCAGCCGCAAGAAACACGGCTCGCTTCGCCGCAGCCGTGCGGTCCCATTTCACTCTGGACGCCGCATCGAGGATGTTGGACATTTTGCAAGCGTTAGTCGTCTCTGTTGACAATCCTTACAACACCCATCCCCCAAACCCGACTCACCGCGTCGACATAAAAAGAGAGAAGGACTTCTGATGGTTGGATTGATGTAAAGCGAGCCCGATACATGTACCGCTACATCCTGCTCTTTCCCCCCCGGTGTCAAGCAGGACAAACTACATTAACTGTACTTCCGGTTATCATTGTCAAAGTAAAATCTCATGGTCAACACCCCGTACCTCACCAGGATATACAACTCGTCCCGTTAAGTTTGTGGTTTTATTTTTTAAAGTCAATTCTCTTTACTTCCTGACTTCTTGCGAATGTTTCCGCTTGTGATTTCCGCTAACTTGACGCTACTTATTTCCGCCATACGCTCTTTGCAGAGGCTTTCATTGGTCGCGCCCCCGAAAAAAGACGATTGGTTGTCACGCAACAATCTTATATCCAGGAAAGTACAATAGCCACTGACAGCTTTTACACAAGTTGTTAAAAAACATTTATATACGTTTATGAACATTTCCGCGCTACAGGATAGTGGTTGTTCCTCGCGCACCTCAGCTTTAACGTCAGTTAGTTAGGATAGATAAACGTTAGGTACATAAGTCAGCTACTTAGCAAACACTTACCCGTGTAACGTTACTGTGAAGTTTCACACTCGCGTTATCTAACGTTATAGGCCAAGTTTTCATTGGTTCTCTGACAGTTATAGCCGTTGAAAATGAATTGGGTTGGGGGTTCAAGGTAAGAGAGGGGAAAATATTTTAGTTACGTAACGTTAATGTTACTAATGTCATCGTTACAAAAGTAAACGTTAGCTTAGATAACGATTTAACAACTGTCACTGCAGGAGCCGGTTAGTGATGAAGAATGATGCGAAAAGGCAGAGGGTGAGACAGCCAAATAAAATAAAATTGCTATAACGTTAGTTAGTCTTTTTTGCATACGTCTAGCTAAATGTGCCGGTTGTTGTTCTTCCCCCCCAGGAGTTTTTTGAAAAGATAAAAATGCAACAGAAATTGAAAAACCTGGGAATTGCTTTGCCAGCCTCCCCTCGAGGCACTAGTTCTGGTAGTATGGACCTGGTGACTCTGTTCATCGTCAACCAGATTGCTGCTAAGAAAGAAAATAAAGGTGAGAAATAACAGCTTGTACAGGCAGATTTATTCCAGCAGTCAACAGTTATATTTACCAAAAATCTACAAAAGAAGCTGAAAGGGAAAACAGTACATTAAGGAGTATAATGGAGGGTAACCTCAGCCTTTATGCTATCTTTACACTCAAATAAATGAGATATCAGAAAGCTAGTTAAAATATATTATATATTGTAATGTATAGTCATTGTTTTATAGTGTGAGGTATCAGACAGTTAAAGTACATAATGATCCAAATAGTAAAACATCAAATAACACTATTTTGCAAATATGATGATCACAGACTTGTCTATCCACCAGTGCCTATGTTAATCAATTCCTCAGCATGGCAAATGATCTGAGTAAACAGTGTTTGTGTTTTTTAGATCCTCCTAAAATGGCAGTTCTTGGCAGCTATAAAGGAGGATCGAAGCATAGGAGAAATGAGCCCCTTGTACTCCCTATGAGCCCCTGCTCTCCATCACAGCTCAGTCTTGTTGAGAGCCAGCCTGAGTGCAGGTAGAGCTGGAGTGTGGTTTGTCAAAAGGCATTTTCTAACAGTTTCTATCAAGCGTGGTAGTTACTTACCACTGACTCCTTAACAATGCCAGTATCATGCAACTCAAACGTCATCCATCACCTTATTAATTAATACTGAATACCCTTCTCATAGAGTCGCACATTAATTGTGTTTATTATGTGTCTAGTGTTCAAGGAGCAGGAAAGAGAACGCATGTAATTCCACAAGGGTTCAAGTGTCGGCAGGTTAGTCACTTTCCAAACATTCATATAGTACTTTTTTTGTCTTACATGTCTTACATTAGGAAAATTTGCTGAATATGAACAAATGTTGGGACCGTCTGTATAAAAAGTCAGTTATCTTTCTGTCCCCTAGCTGTCGCCAGTGCTGGAGTCTGCTTTCTCAGACATCAGTGCATCTGACTACCTGCCACCCATAACTGACACCGTCAGCCCCTTGTCCTACACCTCATCAGCTTCCTCAGCCCAAGGTGGTGTTGTATGGAGTATTTTATGGAGGAAAAAAACTCATATTAATTAAACTACACAATGGTAACTGTGCATTTGTACTCTGCATAAGTATTTTTTATACAGTAAGTCAATTTAGGCCAAATTACACTGGTCTCCTCAGGAATATTCCCCCGACAGCTGAATGTCCAACAGAGAAGCCAGGCGCCCTGCTCCCCTCCTCACTGGGACACCTCAGGGCTGGTGCAGACCAAGGTAGTAAAAAGAGATTTTTCAAAAGAACACATTAATTTAACCACATTGGTTGCAGTTATTACACAGGCATCGGAACGTTTGACTCCAGGGTAGCTTCAGAGGCCTTTTGACAGTATCTTATATGATATGAAATATGATGCCACTCTAATATCCAATCTGAATTTATTTTGCTAGTTTCAGCCTTTCTCCCATCCCAGAGTTATGACAGACTGTATCCCCTGGTCCTATGGATCAAACCCACCCCTCTACCAACCGGAGACACCGTCAGCAGCCCAAGTCCTGTTCAGAAGTCCAGAGCCGGGGTGAGGACCATTTCTAGAATTTGATGGAATGTTTTCCCTCCTTGATCATTTTGTAACCATTCATAGCAAATGTCCATTATCACAGTAACACAGAGTCTAGCGGCCACGCAAGACACGAGGTCACCTTCTCTCTAAGTCCCCCGGAGGACAGGGAGGGGATATTGGATTTCACCCTCAATCAATCAGAAACAAAGCAGCAGTTTGAGGAAGATGTCTTCAGGGGCTTCAGTACTGATGAATGTGAAAGAGAAGGTGAATACTGCTTGAAACGTTTGCATAATGACTTTTTTTTTTACACTAACAATTAAATTTGATTACAGCTTCTCATTTTGGGAGAGTATCATCAAAAATATATCTCAAAGATGAAACACCGGCCAAATCTTCAACACCACAGTATGTGTTTATACATAAAATCAAATCAAACGCTTTATTATTGATGTGTAATATGCTTTGAATTTGTATTTATGTTTGGGTTTCTTTCTTTGCTGTCAGAACCGTCCCTGACTCACAGAGCATGGGAGTGGAGGTAAGCTGCCACATACTGTCCAGTGCATGTGAGTGTGTTTAAGTTAGCTTTTTATTGCCACCAAGTGGTAGAGTTTGAAATTGCGGTTTGAAAGAAAACATTAAGAATATGCACTAATTAGTTGATTAAGAACATTTTACTTGGTTTTTCAATCCTCACAAGCTGTTGTACAGAGTTTCTAGCACTGTTTGTTAATTTATTATTAACTCAGCTGTATTTATATAGCACTTTTCATACAAACATACAGCCCATGTTGCTTCATATGAGGGTACTAGGCACTTTTGGTGTGGGCTTTTGCAGTTTTACTTGTTAATTCTGTTTGATTCCCAGCTCTCCAACTGCACTGACATGGACTTTTGTAAGTTTCTTAAGCAGCTCCAATTAATAAGCTACCCATTTATTGTGTATATGCTGGAGAAAAGACAACAAATTGAATAGATGTTTGTTTTTTCCAATCCCACAGCATGTCTTGAACACAACAATGGCCTCATGAATGGCAGTGACTATTCGTCAAGCTACTCTTGTGGAACAGGTTACGTCAGTTCAGACTCAAATGATGTAAGTAAAGTTACACCGAGGAGTTTTGTCCTTCTTGCTGCCGTACTGTGACTGCAAAATCACTTTAGAATAAAAAAACATCACCTCTGTGCCATAGTTTTTGAACAAATCATTATTATTGATCATTACCGGATGATGTATGATACTAGCAGACAAACAATCCTCTAATCAACACCTGTCAGCAATAGTTATCACTGAAAATGAACACAATACTGGAAAATATTATGTGCCCAGTGCTGACTGATAAATTGCTTTTCCCATCATACACTGGATTGCCTTAAACAAATTGTTAATTATCCAACAACATCACTTTGTTCTTTTCTGAATTTTACAACACCACACATCAGTAGACTTTTCTCTTTAGTTATATCTAACCTAAACATTATGTTTCCCATTTCTAACTGTGTTTTAGGATGAAGAATGCTGTTTGCCATGTCTCCAGGCTGCCTCTTCATATATGGACCAAGCCTGTTGTGCAGATAGCCTCAATCCAAACCTGGTGCCAGATAAAGCCTTAGGAAGCAATAGCACACAGACGGGAAGCAACACAGCTCAGTTTGAGTCTCCTCAAGCTCTAGCTCAAACTCAGGTCTCAGAGCTGTGCAAATGCAAGAAAACATCCCATGAAACTCAAGATGTGGGAACTCAAACTGCTGACAGCCCCACAGCTGAGACATGTGATGCCGCGACTCAGTGCAGCCTTGTTGTAGAAAGCACAACCAAAGCCACTGGGTTCAACTTGTGCCTACCACCTGTTGAAGTGTCAGTACCGAATCCAGCCACAAAGAGGCAGACTGATACTGCTGCAGAGCCAAATACACACACACCTTTACCGGGAAAGGCCAGTATCGGAGGGAAGCATATGCCCTGGAGCAAGAAGAAATTTTGGGCTGCTCCCCTATCAGGCAGTGATAGCAAAGTGATCCTAAAGATACCCATACACCCCTGTCTAGAGGCTCAGAGCATGACGGATGGCAGAGGTATAACATGAAAGTGAAAGATTGAATGTGTAACTTCGTGTGTAAATTGAGAAATCTAAGATTCATATTCCCCACAACACTGTACGCAGGATAAGCGGTTAACGATGGGATGGGAAGATTCATATTTAAATCCTGCAGATTCTACTGACAGATCCAGACAGGAACAAAGTTATTTTGTTGAATTCCCATGTTTTCCGCTCTTGTGTCTAATTTAGGTAAAGAGAATCAAGAGGGCAGAGATGAGAGGGGGCAACAGGAAAATGGCCGTCTGATGAAAGTCCTCTCAAGTGAAGTGAGGGAGGAGGTCACATCTGCCGCCAGAGTTGACAGGCTCTCAGATGAGGCTGAAACACTTCAGGAAATAGCCGACATTTTGCTCTTGCTCAAGCAGAGGAAGGGGGAGGGATGGTAAGGAAGGAAGGCAGATGAATGAAAGCAGCAGGAAATAAGAAAACATGCCTGTTCTGTGCATGTTTTTTTAATTCAAAGCATTATTTAATTGTTCTAAGCAGATAAAGCAAATAAAATATTCATAGTGTTTGATCAAAGTGTTATAATCGAGACACACTGAAATAAAGCCAGAAAGCGTTACTCTGATTCATTTCATTCAAGTTTATTTCTTTCCCCATAAACATAATCAAGTGTTAAGATTTCATGAACATATTTATTTCTTATAGAATATAAACTCTAGCAAAACATTTACAGCTTGAACATTAATCAAATATACTATACTGCACTCTTTTTTTGTGTGTGTTTTTGTAATTCCTCGTAAACTGTAGAAACACACGTAGTTGGTTCACATTGAAAAAAATTGCAACCATTTCACCACAAGTACACATTAAATGTCCCCATTGTGACAGAGGACAGCGTCAACACAACTGGATGTTAACGGCAGAACACCACTTGATCTTTGACAAGGCGCAGCCTGAAACAATCACGTTAAATATTTGGTCAGCACAAGTTCAGATACACAGTCTGTGTTATGGAGCTTCATCTGTGTGTATTTTATCTGTAATAACACTGTCAGTACAAAAGTAGTCTGTGGTTTTAAGACAAGTCATCCAAATGACAATCCAACTGATAAAACAATACCTTTATTTTACCACATTCAATACCACATTTTAAATCAAAGTCAAGCTATGTTTCTCCACCTTTAATCTAGTCTCTTGGATGAAAAGGTTAACGAGCCCAATTTAGTACATTTTAACCTAAAGGTTCAAAGGACAGTAATAAGGTTTCCACATAATGGTGTTTTTATGCCATTTTATTATTGTCTTGCCATTTATGTGAGTAATATTGTACTAATTCCTGTTGTGATGATTAACCATTTCCATAGGCATACATATGTACACGTGACACTGTGACAATACCAAAAATATCACAATACTTGATGCGAATACTCACTACGTTGTGCCGCAGCATTTAATAAACAGCTTCTCATTTGAAAAGTTTATTAAAAAGAGGTATTATATCTTATTAATTTATGATGGATTAGGACCCATGTGCCAAAATGACTGTCCTTCACTTGACATGGTCTGCCATGAGAGAGACATGTTCATTGGACATGGTAACAGCGCAACTTGTTAACGCCTTTTTACCTATTTTGTTTTCTTATACAAAGTTACTCCGTAAACTGTTTTTGCTACACAGAAACCTATGTGTATTTGACTAACAAGGTGTAACCTCACACAGTTTTACAATTTTACAAAACAACATTGGCAAATTACGCTAAAGCCCAGTCCTCAAAGTTTGACACAAGAACCACATAAATGATATGCTCTGCTATTTGTACATAAGGCTATGGAGGAAGACAAAAACCAAAATACATGAAATTATAGTAAAAAATAATAATATTCCATCACAGTTAAAATATGTACACATAAAATAAAAGTTATGTAGACCAAATTATCATAACATGATATAATACATCCACTTGAGTGTTTTGAACTGAGAAAAAAAAAAACAGCTAAGAGGCACCTTCACAATACACAGGCACTAGTATTATCATGTTAAAGATAGGATGAAATACTTGAAATACAGGTCTCAATCAAAAATCATAGTTTTAGTCTACCACTTTAGTTGCTGGACTTACACATTTAATATAACAACCAGCAATCAGTTAATGACAAAAAGTTAATGACTAATGTAGCTATGTAGGTTAATAACGTGGCATCATTGTGTAGGTTTTGGCAACTTGAGATGAGACTACTCCATAGAAGTATGTTAAAAACTACAATTTTTAGAGGCAGGAAAGCAACAGAATTGAAGAAAACAGACTGCTAAAACACTTAGTAATTTGTTGCAAAGCTGATTGACAAAATATTATTTTAATTAATTAATTATAACAAATAAACCATAGCAACAGAAATTTCTTTGAGTGCTACTAGATTGGTGAGTAGGTTTCTTTAGGCACCAACTGACAATACAAGTTTTCTAAACTTGCACAACACGCTGTACATCTCTGGTCTTTGCTTTTCATAAAAATATCAGAACAAGACAAACTAAGATGTGGAACTGACATTTTTGTGCTATGACACAAGGTTAAACAACATTTAACTGAGATGTGTTTCATATAGAAAGGCATAATGGTACTATAGATCAACAATACGTTACAACTGCATCATGTCAACAAATGTTTGTTGATGTTTTTCCTGTTTTTCAAGACCAAGTTTACTGTACCTTTTCAAATGTTCTCAATGGAAATGTATTCTGACATAATGCTGAAGGATGGCTGTGTCATGTTTTACCTTTTGTACTGTATGTACAACATATAAAAATTATATTTAGAGTCAGAGAATGTACCAAATATTAGGGACATCTTACATCATCATCATCAGTGGACTTCATGATAGGGGAAGCGTCCCTTTTATTTTGTACATCAACAGTCATGTTTTCTGTGTCCACGAAAAAGACACTGAACCACTGTCTGTTATCTGTGGAAAAGGCAATGTTTTAACCTTTCATAATTGAGATATGGTGCATGGTTGACCACTGACACCAAATCTGGAGTCAATTCACCCTCAATTCAGAGAACAGGCTGAAAACAAAACATTCACACTCCTGCTACCAGCTGAAGCATTATCATTGACTACAGATTCCTGAATCGACTGAATTGAAAGTGAACTCACTCGCGTTAGCAAAACTGCCTTATAAACTGTGATTCTTCAATCTCACAGTGAGGATAACCAGTGGCTCCCACACAAAAAACGAAAAATGTTACTCTCTGCATGTTTCAGTTATCACAAAAGCGAATTAAACACCCAGAGGGAGGTTACCAACACTCAAACTCTCCCTAGTCCACATCAGATGCGTCGTTGTCCGATAGATGGTAGTTTGAACCTTTGACTCGGATATATTCGACCTGCCGTCCCTCGTCTGAATCAGAGGCGCCGCAGGAGCAAAGCTGGTTTTCGAACAGCGCTTCAATCTCCTCCAGACGGCGGGCTTTGGTCTCCGGCAGGCAGCCGTAGATAAAGAAGAAACCCAGCAAAGCCATGCTGGAGTAGAGGAAGAAAGCTCCTGGGAAGATGAAACAAAAGAACACACTGTCACTCACAGCCCTCCACAAACACAAGGAACACTCTGTCGCTGTGTTGTGGCTTTCAATAGCTATGTCACTTTTTGTAAATAAGTCTGCTTGTTTTCATCCTTCAAAAAAAAAGAAGACAACACTGGTGCCCCACGGACTTCTATGTAGATGTGTGTGTGTCCTAAAATGTTATACCAAATTGAAATATTGCTTTCAGGTAACACGCCCATGTCAAAATGGCACTACAGGAGAAGTCACCTAGAAACAAGCATTCATACAGAACCACAGTGACAGAGGATTAATGAGATTTCCTGGCCACTGTGTTCTCTATGTTCTACTTTTCAAAGCAAAATGACATTTTGAGCTGCAACAAAGTGTACATTATGCTAAATGCCGTGACCATTCCTACGACAACATCATTACGTTTAACCATCTCAGGATGCCTCCACAATCAACCGTGATGGATCAATGCCACCTCCACAAAAGGTCAGTTCCTTCCTGTCTGAGGCGAAACCTGCTGTTGAGATACATTGACTAAAGAGGGAAGAGGGTTGGGCAGGTTAAAAAGGTTGGCAACACCTCGGGGTATCAGTTAGCTGTTCCCTCCTTGCTGGTCTTGACGTAAGGTAAGTATGAATGCAAGTTACGCAAGATCTGCTCAGGGGGTTGCATAAGGATTGACATGAGGAGTGATAGCATCGATGGCTGGTAGTAATGGTTTCCTGAGTGTTTAGTCTGATTAAAATTACATGAGTTCAGGTTGACTGGGTTTATAATAAAGAAAGGCATGGCCGAGTCCTTCCCTTTCTTCCTCAAAAATTAAGATAATGGTAATTGGTGTGCTCTAATTTCTGCAGCCTCAGATACTGACCATAGTAGGTGAAGTACTGAGCCAGGTGGAGGAAGGTGAGAGACACCAGGATGTTGAAGGTCCAGTTGACTCCGGCTGCGCAGGCATTGCCTGTGCTCCTTGCCCACAAAGGGTAGATCTCTGAGTTGATGGTCCATGGCATTGGACCCATCCCTGAGAGAGAGATGAGAGATGAGCCTTGTGGGATTACATTAAGAGGACATGGAGACCAGTTTAAACAGGAGGCTCAGTCTTGGGTCACTCTTACACAGTTAGAACACATTTCTGTTTGTCCTCTGTGTGAGTGGACATTCAAAGCTCTCAATATTAAAATTACTTTAAAGAAGACTAATCGAAGCCGCCTACAATGCTAGTAGTACGTACTGATTTGGCCTAAATGTAGTATGTAGTATGCAAACAAAAACTGTATACTTCATACTGCATACAGTATGTGGTATACAGTACATGTAGTATGTAGTTAGAGCCTACACCTATGCTAGCAGCTCTGTGAGGCTGTACTTAGCAGCTAATGCTAACGTCAGCATGCTAACATGCTCACAATGACAGTGCAAATATGCTGATGTTTAGCAAGTATAATGGCTATCTTAGTTTATTGTGTTAGTATCTTTTTATATACAGTCTATGGTTAGTATGCTAACATTTGCTAATTAGCACAAAACACAAAGTACATCTGAAGCTGATGGGAATGTCATTAGTTTTGCAAGTATCTGTTCGTAGTAGTCAAGGGATCACTACAGTTATTCAGTTAATCTCAAGAATTAATCTAATTTCATGGCAAGCAATCCAGTATTTGTTGAGATATTTCACTCAAATCTTTAAGGTCAATTACACTAACACTACACAGTACTTGGTGTTAAATTTAAGATAGCATTTGCGGCCAAAACTGGAATTTAGATTACTAAACATTATTAAAAGCATCTTGGCATGGTTACGTTTACAAGTGACACTGAAATGACAAATGAAAAACTAAGATTTGATCTCTTACCTGGAGCGAAAGCAGCCAGGTAAAGCACCAGGCCCAGTAAAACCATCCAGGAGTAGGTGGTAGGACAGTAGTTGTATGCCCAGTAGGTTTGATCTCTCATCAGGCTGGAGTTGGAGCATCTGGAAGAGGGAGGCACAACTCATTGGCTTCTGTTAATAACTCTTGACACTGGATCTCAATTCCATGGTGACATGTGTCATTTCACATTAA